AATCAGGATGCCTGGGCTTTAGCTCCAGCCTGGAGGTGACTAGCTGTGTGATACTAGGCAAGCCACTTAACCTCTTTGGAACTCAGGTCCCCTCACCTGTAAATGAAGAGAATTGAGCCAGATGCCCTCCAAGGTCCCTTCTACCCAACATGGTTCCACATGTGGTTTCCTCCGTTTGAAGTAGGGCACCTGTGCTGCTGAAATCAGCCTGAAACCTTGCTGAACTTGGCAGAGAGGGAGCTGGGCCTTTTTTGCGTTCCTCCTTAGTAATTAGGCGGCTGGATGTTCAAGCATTATTGTTATTTTAAAAAATCAATTAGCTGAATAAGAAAATGCCATTGAGACAAATCATGCCTAGCATGATTCCAGCTGGGTAGGAAGATAATGTGGTCAAATCCAGAAGGGGAAAATATGTTTCTGATATATTGGAACTAATCCATATATTTAAAACTGCATATGGGACTTCCCTGGCGGTCCAGCAGTTAAAACTTCACCTTCCAATGCAGGGGGTGCAGGTTCGATCCCTGGTCAGGGAGCTAAGATCCCACAGGCCTCACGGCCAGAAGCAATATTGTACCAAGTTCAATAAAGACTTTAAAAATTGTCCACATCAAAAAACAATCTTAAAAAAAAAAAGCTGCATAGGAGAAGATGGAGGCTTTTAATTTTTTTTTTTTTAAGTTTTGTAGGGGAAGAAACTTCACACACTTACTTGTGATTTGTACCCACTGCTGCATTATTAACAAGCCACTGGCTCTGGCAATGACCACATCCCTATTTCCTCCTTTTAGAAAAAATTTAGTTAAAAAAAAAATGCTTCTAGGACATCTGGAATGTTATCAATCAGTATTCCTATCTCTGGGATTAAACCTGGAGAGTCTATGAAACAAATTAAATGAAACAAACATTTTTTCCTATACTCCTCTTGTTCATTATTCCAATAACTGCATTTTGCTAGTCAAGCAGAAAATATGATATTGTTGTGTTTGTTTAAAGCTTTTTTCTGAAGATTACCTGGTCTGTGTCCTGCATTAACCAGGTAACTCTGGGCCAGTTTTTGTTTGTTTGTTTGTTTTGGCTGTGTTGGGTCTTCGTTGCTGCATGCGGGCTTTCTCTAGTTGCGACGAGCGGGGGCTACTCTTCGTTGAGGTGCATGGGCTTCTCATTGTGGTGGTTTCTCTTGTGGTGGAGCACAGGCTCTAGGCGCACAGGTTTCAGTAGTTGTGGCATGTGGGCTCAGTAGTTGTGGCTCATGGGCTCTAGAGTGGAGGCTCAGTAGTTGTGGCACATGGACTTAGTTGCTCCTTGGCATGTGGGATCTTCCCAGACCAGGGCTCAAACCCGTGACCCCTGCATTGGCAGGCGGATTCTTAACCACTGTGCCACCAGGGAAGTCCTGGGCCAATTACTGAAATTTCCTGAGCCTTAGTTTTCCTTTCTGTGAAAGAAGATACTGTTAGTACCCACCTCAGGGTGTGTGTGTGTGTGTACACATGTGTGTTTGTATACGTGTGTGTGCATATGCACACAAGCAAATTCGTTTACATAACCCATGGAAAATGCTTTGCTCAGTGCCTGACATATAACAGGCACTCGTTAAATATTAGGTGTTTTTACTCCGGGGAAGAAGAGGCGTTCTTATGTCTGTGGGGAAGGAGCAGGGCAGGGTCAGGCAGCCGAAAGTGGGTCTGACCATTTTCCTTTTGTGTGGCCTTGGGGACTCCTGCCCCCAAGGGCTCTTGGCCACTGTGGCTCTCACAAGACCCCAGCAAGGCCTTTAGACTTCTCTGTGCTTGTCAGTTTTTAGTCCCTGCTTGTTGCACAAATAGCCCTGGAGAGAGGGAGTCAGAAGTTCTGGGAGTAATGTATGGTGACCACACCCATGCCACCACAGCTGGTGACAACAGGCCTTTAGCATAATGGAAGGCATTTGGGGATCTATTTTTCTCTCACTGCACAGAGCATTACTCACCTCGCTCCTCTGTGTCACAAGGAAGGAGGAAGGAGGGGGACACGATAAATTGTCAAGGATGAGTCAAGTTTCGACAGAGCATCTTTGCTCAGAAGGCAGCGACTGCTGTTTCTTTTGCATTCCTGAGACTCAAATTGCAAAGCAAGTCCCAAACTCCTGTTTCTTTCTTCTTCTTCTTCTTTTTTCGTCCCCAGGGAAGGACAGCAACTGGAACTGTATTTTGATTGTGTTCTTTCTAGGTTAGAGATTGAAGGAAAATGATACTTTCAGAGCAGGCTTCTTTAGGGCCTCTGTGATTGTGTGGTTTTTTTAAAAATATATTTCTATTATACTTTTTTTTCTTCGTTTTTTGGCCGTGCCACACAGCATATAGGATCTTAGTCCCCTGACCAAGGGTTGAACCTATGCCCCCTGCAGTGGAAGAGCAAAGTCCTAACCACTGGACCACTGGGGAAGTCCAGGGCCTCTGTGATTCTTGATCACAAACACAGGCTGGTTGTTTGCCACCTCAGCCTCTCACCTTCTGTTAAGACATCAACTCCCATCTTAGCTCTTCTGCCCTTCCTTCCCTTCTAGCAGTGGCCACGATCATGCAATGGTTTCTCAACTGGCTCTAGATTAGAGATGAGCCTGGAGAACTTTCTGTTTCCCGCAGGTGTACCACCTAATCGCTGCTGTGTTCATTTCAGGTAAGAGGCTGGTTGATTCCTACATAGGCGTAAGTGCCTCTTCCTATGGCTCTGATGTCCCTATAAAGCGCTCTCTTCTCAGGGTAGCATGAGGTCTTTCCCCAGGAAGTATCAAGAGAGAGGAATACTAAAGGGAAGGAAGAGATGTGATCAGTTTTATGATCATTTGGTGTTTAAGCTAAAGTATTTTTCTTATAACACGTTGTATTTGCATATATTTTCTTATTTCCATGGTACAAAGCAATGGAAAGATCGGAAGGAAGATAAGGGATAGGGTCAAGTTCAGGGTGTAGGGCAGGAAAGGGAGCATATGACATTGTTGAATTAACCAGCCTTCTGTCTGGCATGAGACATATTTTGAGCATCTCCAAAGACCACAGGAAACAACATTGCAGAAAACATTGATTTTAACTGAACTGGTGTACTTGAGGCCTGCGGTTCCCAAACTTGGCTGAGCGCTAAGAGGTACGGGGAGCTTGCTGATGGTGTAAGCTCTGGGCCCTGGGCCAGGGGATTCTGAGTCCCTGGTGTTGGGTGGGAATCTTCATTTTAGAAGTTCCCCCAGGTGGTTCTGATGACAGGTCAGGTTTGGGAACTAACTGAGGCCACATTTTCAGGAGAGATGGTCACATATCATGTACCATCAACAAGGCAGTTCTGTTTTATTCCTAAACCTTTTGTTGTGACGTGTAACACACATGCAGAAAAACACACAGATCAGAAATGTTGTTCAGAACAAACACCCGAGTGTTTACCTCTCAGTTGAGAAACAGAACATTGCTAACAGATGCATTTTGGGGCAACTACACAAAATCTAGAACATTTTTCTATTTATAAATCATTGGAGCTCTTCCATTCTGTAGCACCTGAATGTGAGCCTTGGGTTTTAGGTGTATCTCTGCTACTCTCAGGCTTTTCTCTGATTTAAGGAGCTGACTTTTCATCCTTCAGAATCTTGCACTTGGATCCTGTAATTAATCAGGAGTCAGAATTTTGCTTCAAACCCCAACTCCTCTGCTTGCCGGCAGTGTGGTCTTGGGCAAGTTACTTTCCACCTCTGGCCCTTAGATTCCTCCTCTATAAAATAAGAAGAATAACAATATCTACCTCATAGGATTTTGCAAGCCTTAAATTTACTGAGCAAACTCAATATTTCCCAGCAATCGACAATTTTTCTTTCAGAACCCGTTTTCACTTTGCTCCTCTCCAAAACGTCTCTTCCCAGAAATTATCCTCTCTCTCCCCTGTATCTGGGCCCTGTGCCAGAGACCTGTGTCATGTCCATCCATATAGAGACATGCTCTCTTCTATCTTGACTTAAAAGGAAACAGGCAGGGCTTCCCTGGTGGCGTAGTGGTTGAGAGTCCGCCTGCCGATGCAGGGGACACGGGTTCGTGCCCCGGTCCGGGAAGATCCCACATGCCGCGGAGCGGCTGGGCCCGTGAGCCATGACCGCTGAGCCTGCACGTCCGGAGCCTGTGCTCCACAACGGGAGAGGCCAAAAGAGAGAGGGGCCCGTACCGCAAAAAAAAAAAAAAAAAAAAAAAGGAAACAAGCAAACAAACAAAAAACCCTCCTTGACCCCATATCTCTCTCCTGACATCACCTTATTTTTCTGCTTCCCTTCATGGCAAAGTTTTTGTAATTACCGTCTCTGCTTATTCAGTCTATGCTTGAATCTGGGCTTCTGTAAGCCACCCCTAAGCCACAGAGAGCCACACCTGTCAAGATGACCAGTATTGTCTGCATTGCCCCAGTCCAGTGATAACTGCTCTCTTCTGAACTTACTTAGCCTTTCAGCAGCGTCTGACAGAGTTGACCCTGCTGAGAGTTAGAGGCAAAGGCTTTTAGGTGTGGGAAACTGCAAGTGCAAAGGCCCTGAGACGGGGACAAGCTTAATGGGTTCAAGAAACAGAAAAAAAGGCTGGTCTGGCTGGAGCACAGAGAGGGAAGGGTGGGAGCTGAGAAGGCAGAGGTCCAATCACGTGTCAACTGGAGTGAAGCTTCAGCACTGGGCCTTGTGCAGAGCAGGTGCCCCGTGTTTATCACTGTTATAATTAAGAGCTTAATAGTGCCAAGTGGGAGAGGTAGGAAGGGAGCTGGGCAGGGAAATGAAGAGAAAATTCCAGGTTTTGAAGAGCTTTCCCCCTAGTTGAGGGTCTAGATTATACCTGTCACATAGGTAACGGGAAAAGCAAGCCCGTGAGCTGATTTCTTGATGGTCAATCTGTTGTCATCACCTTCCCTCCAACACTAACCCTGCACACACTTTCTTGGTGAATTGTGTCCCATCCAGTGATTCTCTCTGGATAATTAAGGTTTAGTTTTTCACTTGACAGGGAAGAAAAGTGGGCTATGAGTCTCAGTGAAGAAAGAGATGACTAAGAAGATACCAACCATGAGATCACAGTGTGCGCTGGGGACAGAGACCAACCTCTGCTTTTCCAGACTACTCAAAGTCACCTCCTCCAAAAAAATAGTGGCTGGCCTCTGCTGTTGTTTCATTTGGGCCAAGCTGCAAATCACACAAAAGAAATCAGGCTCTGGAAGCAGCCCTTTGGATTCCTGATGCAACACACGTGACCTAAGGCGAGTGCGTTTTTATCCTCCTGGTGTCCTTGCCACGCACATCCCTATCACAGGCACACCTGCAGGCACACACACGCAATCACACATGCACACACTTACACACACACTCTATGCACATATACCCTCAACATCCAGATGTTTAATGCACATAGACACGCAACACACACCCTCAACACACACAACATACAAGCACAACACACATACTCAATATATACAAGTACATACACTTGATACACATACATACTCAACTGATACACAGAGCAATACACACACCCACACACACACACACGCACTCAGCACCGACACGTTCAAACACTCATGCAAATGTTCATGCACAACCTGAGCATTCATGATCCTAGTGGACTATGAAATTCTTCCCATCTCTATACCTTTATTGCCCAGCAACTGAAAGTGGGCCAGCGTGGAAAACTGAAGTGAGTCAGGAAAAACTCACCACTTTCAATTATAATTTGATGCCGCTTATCTGCCAGATCAGAGTCTAGTGGAAAGGAGATTGAGAAAAATGAGCAAGTAATTCTTGTACATGAAGACACAACTGACAGAGTGCACTCTCTTTTTCTATCTCTGTCTTTCTGGCTGTCTTTTTCTTTATCTCTGATCATGGAAAAGTTGGCCCGGAAGGGTGACCCATTTAGAAATTATCTCAACAAAAAGTTAATGGGTACTGTGATGTTTAAAGGGATGTGTTTGAAATAGGCCACCCTGAGTTTACTCCCACAAAGCTTGAAAGTTTAGAGAATATTCCAGATACCATCTAGGCAAATTAATTGACGTTGGATGATGTGAAACCAAAACTTTAGTGAAGAATTCTGTGAACAAGTGGAATAGAAGATTTCGCCTTATCTAAAATTAATTTACTTTCATTTCCAAACGTGGACACTAGCAGACTTCTTCCTCAAAATGATAACCCCATAGAGCCTCCTGGGTGATGGCACGTAAACAAGTAGGATCACTGTGTTCCCTGTTTTTGATTCTGGTAGACCACTCATGTGGCAAGAAATATGCTAGGGAAGAACAGATTCTGTTCTTAATCCGGTTGTTTTCAGACTTTTCTGCCTGAGGACATTTTGTCATTACACTAGTTTTCTAGTGTTCCTCTTTTTCATGTCTGGTAGCTCAATTTTTTTTTTCTGTCATGCTCGATTTTCAGCACTCCAGGACAGTGTGATATATTTACCCTCTCCATTTTAGACTCTAAGGCGTCTGTCAAGTGTCTCAATGTGTCTGGCTCAGTACAGGTGCTTCATTGAAGAAAATCTAGCAGAGTATTAAAAGTCAAAGTGACAGAGAAGGACAATTGTTTTAGTACTTTTAATGTTTCTAAAATTTTTAATGTTTCTATAAATTTTTAAATTTATATCAATCTTATTTTATTATAGAGCATATCTATTTGCCACTGACAGAAAACAAAACAAAACTGGTTCATCACCATTAGATAGTCTGAGAAGCAATGAAATAGACAATGTTAAAACCAAGGCATTCTGTTCATGAAAAGACACATATGGAGAAACTAGCCCCAGAATGGAGAAAAAAAATGTTTGCAGCACAGTAATTGTTAAAGGAGTTATAAGACTCAATTCAAATAAAAATGGGCCCAAGGGCGACGCAGTGGTTGAGAGTCCGCCTGCCAATGCAGAGGACATGGGTTCGTGCCCCAGTCCGGGAAGATCCCACATGCCGCGGAGCGGCTGGGCCCGTGAGCCATGGCCGCTGAGCCTGCGTGTCCGGAGCCTGTGCTCCGCAGCGGGAGAGGCCGCAACAGTGAGAGGCCCGCGTACCGCACAAAAAAAAAAAAAAAAAAAAATGGGCCCAAAACGTGAACAGATATTTACATGAGAAATCCTCATGCCTGGTGCGCACGTGCGGAGCGGTCAACCTCACTATCACCAGGGGAAAGAATATTAAAGCCACAATGAAAGCCACAGAGCCACCAGATCAACAGAAACAAAGCTTCATAATTCCAAATGTTGATGAGGGCGCTCAGCAGCGGGAGCTCTCTGGCGGGAGCGTAAACCAGCCAAAGCCTTTGGAACACTCTTTGGCAGCATTCACTAAAGCTGAGCCTAAAAAGCTGGATTCGTGAGCCACAATTCCACTCCAAGTCCTAGTCCTAGGAAGTAACGACAACTTGTGCACAAACCCGATGACGAAAGCAGCATGATTTGTGATGGTTGCAAAGTGGAAACAAGCCATATGACAACCAACAGTGGACTGGAAAAGTAGATGCTGTGCTCTTTACACTATGAAACAGTAAACAGCAGCAGAGCCCATCAAGCCACAGCTTTAGACAATGATGTCGGCAAAGCGCATAGGATGCACCCTCTGTCGTGCAGGACATCTCAGGACATTTCAGGGTCAGACTCTCCTACAAATTCAGTAACATTTCGTGCTGCAGTCATTTCTGTCTTCAGAGCCCCTGCTTGGCGCCCAGATGCTGTGGGAGTGAGAGAGGGTCCTTGAAAGGGTCTTGGGCCAGGGGAGTCCAATGCTGTGGTGTTGTGTCGCTCTTGTTGAGAGCATTCGACCCGCTGGTTCTTGAACCACAGGGGCTGGTTCAGATTGAGTTGTTAGCCCTCCTGTTGCTTGTAGGCTGTCTGCCCTTCTCAAAGTGTTTCCCCAGCTGCTGTTGCTGTTCCCTGGTGTGGACCCTGCGTTCCTGGTGCCACCTCCTCTGGGGCCTGGTGATGGTATGGGGCCCATGAGGTTCTTAAGTTCTTACATCCTTCATTCCTCTGTTCACTCCCCTTGAGCTTGGTACATTTTTTAATGGTTTTTCTCTCAATTGTATTTCAAGCCATATACTCATCCAGAATAGGGTCCCCCAGAAGCATTAGGGAATGAAGCAGTCATGGTTCTAACCTCTGTGGACATAGCCCAGATTGACTGGGTAGAGACACACAAGGAAATGTTAAGACATTGAATGAGGACCGAGGACCTACCTTTTCCTCCAGGGAATAACCAGCCTCCTCTTTTCCTTCCCAGCTGCAGGCCCCCATAGTTCTACTCCTTAACCATGTCTTTCAATCCCACCCCAAAGATCTCATTTTAATTTTGCCTAATTGCTCCAATAGGTCTTGTGGTTTTGTTCCTTCCGAGATCTCTCAAAGTTGACTCCCAATCTGCCCACCATCCCTAATCAGCATCCTAGTAGAACAAGCCCCAGCCTCAGCTTTTGGAAGAAGCCAAGGTACAAATCAGCTCAGAGCTCTGTGGTGGCTTCACACTGAAGTGGGTATGTGTTTATAGCTTTTAATTGTTATATTGCTTTTTTTTTTCAAGTTAGTCTAATTAAAAAATATAAAATAGGGAAAACATGTGCATTATACAAAATTCAAAAGGTAAAAAGGGGGGTAAAGGGAAAAAAAGTCTCATGCTCTCATTCCTGTCTCCAGCCTCCCCAGCCCACTCTCCAGAGGCGACAATGTCACTAGTTTCTGCCAAAGACAGTCTGCATATGCAAGATTACATGTATAGATAGCCTTGGTCTTTTTAAAAACCTAAACAATGGCATGCTGCATACAATGTTTGCCTTTTTACTTGAGAGTTCTTGGCAATTGGACATTTAGCTCTGCCTTGTTAAAGGCGTCATACCACTCCACTCTATAGAGATTCCAACTGGGGGACACCTGGGATTTTTCCTGATTTTTGTCTGTTACAAGGCTGCAGTGAAATAAGGACCTCTCCGTTTCAACTGCCCTTCTCTGGACTGAGTTTCCCTGGATAGTTATTAAAATGCTTAACTTTCCTTTCAAGAAAAGAGGATGTGGGAAGGGAGGGGTCTTCTGCAGGCCTGCTGGGAAAACAGGGCTCTTCTGTCTACTACCCCGCCCCCTTGAGAGAGCTGCTTGTCATGTGGAGGTGATGTGGGAAAACTCCCAGAAGAATGGTTTGCACGCAATGCAGTAACACATTGGTCAAGGTACTTTAAGAAGCTAAAAACATTTTTTAAATTTAAAAACAAAGTTTTAATTTAAATTTTTCTAAAAATAAATTTTAGGGACTTCCCTGGTGGTCCAGTGGTAAAGAATCCACCTTCCAATGCAGGGGACGCAAGTTCGATCCCTGGTGGGGAGACTAATATCCCACGTGCCGCAGGGCAACTAAGCTCCTGGGCCACAATTACTGAGCTCGCGCCTCAACTAGAGCCCGCATGCCTCAAACTACAGAGCCCATGCGCCCTGGAGCCCTTGCACTGCAACTAGAGAGAGAAAACCCTCATGCCACAACTAGAGAGAAACCCACGTGCCACAACGACAAGCCCGGGCCACAGTGAAAGATGCCATGTGCTGCAACTAAGACCTGATAGAGCCAAATAAATAAAATAAAATAAAATAAATAAATATTTTTAAAAATTTTTTAAAAGAAGAAGTCAAAAACATTATACAGGTATAAGGTGTGACTGTAAAGTAATGGGGCAGATTCTACTGGAATCATATGCTGGAACCAGCCACTTTGCTTTATGCTTGGATAGGTGATACCCAGAAGATTGAGAACACCTAATTCAGAATAACTCAGGGGAAAACTGGAAATATATTGTCTCGCGTACAAGTCCATAGTGTAGAGCTGGCTTTAGGAACCACTGGATTCGAATGCTCAGATGATGTCACAGGACTCAGTTCCTCGGTCTTGGCTTCGCCTTCTGGTGTATTAGCTCTGTTCTCAGAGGTCTACCCCTTGCGGGGACAAGATGCCATAGCAGCCCAAGCTTCAGCTCCCCTTCAGCTTTCACACAACAAGAAAGAATCCTCTTTCCTAGTAGCTGTAATTGAGTCTCCTTGACGCTGATTGGCCCGTCAGGTGGCTGTCCCTGAACCAGCCAGAGAATGTGATTCCCTGGTTGCCCCAGTCCTGATGTCCCAGTTCTGAGACTCAGGTCAACATCAACTCCACTGGAACCCCTTGGACTGAGAGGAAAAGAGTGGATATCTGAACATAAACCCCATGCTATTCTGGCATTAAGTGACATAGACACTGGGCCAGCAAGAAACTACACATTTTCATCACACTCAGGACTTACTGTTCATGAGCCTGTCATTTCAAACTTCTGGCTCAGAGAGCTGAG